CCATTTTCGCGGCGGCGCAGTTCGTCGCGTGGTCGGCTCGGCGGCGCTCACGGGCAAGATTGTGTTTAAGGGCGGGCTGAGGCGCAAGGCGGCGCCGGGACCCGTGCCTGCGGCTTCGGGGCTCGCGCCGCCGCCGCCGGTGAAGCAGGAGGCTTATGCGTAAACGTTGGTGGGGTGGACGGCAGAAGACGCGATGAACGGTGGGGTGGTGGGCTATGTGTCGGGACGTAAGCTCGCTGTGACGGTGAATCTGCTCAGAATGCGGGCGGTAGTGCGACTGCCGCCGGCGATGATTAGCGCTCGTAGGTGTCGTCCAAAACAGGCGTTCAGTTAGTCCGCGAATTGGATCATCGTAATGCATCTGGTCTGTGTTGGGTGGACGTATCATGCAGTCAGATGAGGGACTAGTGATGGCGATAATGATGATGCATTATGATGAATTGGTTGGAAAGGATAATGAACCCCTGCTCGTCAGGGTGTGTGTAGTTTGCTGTGCGTTCACCCATCATTCATTTGCAGCAGCTCGCCCTCTTCTGGTGTGTACATGGTAGGTCCCAACTGTTTCCTCACCAAGCGAAACTACCCCTCCATTCCCCACCAAACCCTGTTGGGTGCCCCTGCTTATGCCCCTCCTTTTTTTTTTCTTATGGCTGGGGCTTTTTGGTCAATCAGGTAGGCAGCTTGGGAGGTACCTATGCAGGTAGGTAGTACCCTTTGCGCAACGATGGCAGGCACAGAGGGCACGTTCTTGCTGGCCCAGATCTGGTGTATTCGTGAGGCAAGCACGATGGCGCCTTGTCATATCCCGAGGCCTCTTCTGCCTCTGCTCTCGCACGCCCATATGCCCATATGCCCATGCCGCTGAGCCTAATCCTGAGTGGCTTCTCTTACACCTTCAAATCCCGAAATGGACCATCGTGGCCCGCCAGCGCGGAATGTCGCCTGTCACGACCTTCTTCAAAGGAGCTATGGCATTTTCGCGTCGATGGCGTGCTCTGCGCCAACCCCACACCGTTTCCTATATCGGACTCTAAACGCGTTGGGCTGGACCCCGACTCGCCCACTCGCCCGCTCACCCGCGTCGCCAGGCCTCAGAAAGACATGCGATCACCGCCCCCGTGGCTCAAGCCATCGGGTAATCTGTGCCTGTGCCTGTGCTGCAGCACCTCGTCACTCCACGGAGAGGTGGGGGGAGGAGCTAAATGCTGAGCTGCGTTTCCTATCCGACAGGCCTAGCGGCCGCGGGGGCTGGCTTTCTCACTGCTGGGCCCCCCTCGATGGCATCATGTCCTCACCAAAACCCGAGCACCTCCCCTCCTCTCGGCTGACCGGACTGGCCTCTGCTCCTCACCTCTCTCGCTCTCCAGCCTGTGACGCTTACCTCTTTACAAGCAGTCTTCTTTCTCGCGACGTCTACAGGGACCGATCGTGAACTTCGCCGCATCTCTCTCTCTCTCTCTCTTTTACACACTTTCACCCCATACTTTCGCAACGCTGTAGCCATGGCCGACGAGGCGCCCAAGAACTTCGAGACGCTGCAGCTGCACGCTGGGTACGTCGCGATGGCCTACTGGCCCCATTGTGTTGGTGCCTCGCAAAGAACCACCTGAACTGACCTCGAATGAAGCCAGGAGCCTGACCCGACCACCAAGTCGCGTGCTGTCCCCATCTATGCCACCACGAGCTTCGTCTTCGATGATTCGGCCCACGGTGCTAGGCTTTTTGGCCTCAAGGAGTTTGGCAACATCTACAGCCGCATCGGAAACGTGAGTCGCTCCGTCAAGCATCAGCTTTCAAGGGCGCACCAACTAACGCGCCCTCCTCACAGCCTACTGTCGACGTCTTCGAGAAGCGCATTGCCGCCCTCGAGGGTGGTGTCGCTGCCGTAGCCACGTCTTCCGGTCAGTCTGCGCAGTTCATCGCTATCAATGCCCTCGCCCACGCCGGTGACAACATTGTCTCCACATCCCTGCTGTACGGTGGCACCTACAACCAGTTCAAGGTCTTCCTTCCCCGCCTCGGAATCACGACCAAGTTCGCCGACGGCGACAAGGTCGAGGACATTGAGGCTCTGATCGACGACAAGACCAAGGCCGTCTACGTTGAGAGCATTGGCAACCCCAAGTACAACGTCCCCGACCTCGAGGCCATTGCCAAGGTCGCCCACGCCAAGGGTGTGCCCGTCATCGTAGGTTGTCCCAGTAGCCATTGCATCTCTGTGCGACCGCTAACATTCCCCAGGTCGACAACACCTTCGGTGCCGGAGCTACTTCATCCGCCCCATCGAGCACGGCGCCGACATTGTCGTCCATTCCGCCACCAAGTGGATCGGTGGTCACGGCACTACCGTCGCCGGTGTCATTGTCGACAGCGGCAAGTTCAACTGGGGCGAGCACGCCGAGCGCTTTCCTCAGTTCGTCGAGCCCTCCGAGGGCTACCACGCCCTCAAGTTCTGGGAGACCTTTGCCCCATCAGCTTTGCCATCCGCGCCCGCGTTGAGATCTTGCGCGACCTCGGCGACACTCTCAACCCCTTCGCCGCCCAGCAGCTCCTCATCGGGTATTGAGACCCTGTCGCTGCGTGCCGAGCGCCACGCCTCGAACGCCCTGGCCCTCGCCAAGTATCTCGAGAACAGCAGCTACGTCAACTGGGTCTCTTACCCTGGTCTCGAGAGCCACCCCTACCACGAGACAGCCAAGAAGTACCTCAAGCGTGGCTTCGGTGGTGTGCTGAGCTTCGGTGTCAAGGGCGGCGGTGCTGCTGGCTCCCAAGTCGTCGACAACTTCAAACTGATTTCCAACCTGGCCAACGTTGGCGATTACAAGACGCTCGCTATCCAGTACGTTGCATATTCGCCACTTATAGATCTCCAAGCTAACAATTTCTAGCCCC